AGAAGAAAACAATTATAATTTTTAACGATTGTAGTTGTAGAAGAGATGGAAACTAAATAGAGGTCTTCAGAATTGATCTATTTGTGTGTATCTCATGTATCTACATGTATATTCTTTTCTGTATCTACAGATTGATGTAATAATTACTTTTTTCTTACTCTGTAATTATCTAATTCACGATTCGCTCTAAGTTCTTGTGCTCCAAACTATTTAAAGCTATATCTATGTTGAAAGTAACCAGTAACAAATTTTACAAATGATAATTAAAGAATAAAAATGAAGTTTTATTTTATAGAATAAAAAACAAATTTCCATTCAATCATAAAGTTATTTTGGTAGCAATAAATAAGTTATGCATTCTCTCTCATTAAAGCTTGCAAATGCGATGTTCTTTACAAAAAATTGCTATACTTACATATTTCAATGTTAATAAAAAATAGAATTATAAGAATAAAATTAATAATAGGTAAAAACTATGCTTCTTTTAAATACAAAATAATTTTGTTTGAACACTTTTAACTGCAATTTTCATATCAAATATTCTTTTTAATTTGATGTTATTTACAGATAATAAAAAAATATATATTTTATTTAGCATCATTAAATATAATTTTACATACACAATTTCATACACAATCACATTGAATAAAGTAATTTTTCTTCTTTTTATTAGGAATTTGAATCATACTGCAACGAAGTAGTAGTTACGGCACTTTATGTAAGAGAAGTATAATTACAATCTTAATATTCTCTGTATTTCCTATAATCACATGCATTTGTAATCTATCTTTTTGTCGTATTTTATGTCGTTGCAAATAAAGTTTTAAAAATACTTTATCTGTTAAATTGTTGAAAATATTGATTTGACTAGAGTCATATTATTCACACTAGAGTTAGACAAATTATATAAACAATATGTATATAATAAAAATATATTAGAACAATATATAAGAAATAAAAATAGATTTAAAAAAATAAATTTTGTATTTGTCTGTAGACAAGAATTTATTTTATAAATTTACAATATTAACAATATTTTCGTGTCAAATCAATTTTGTAAAAGTTACTCTAAGAGAAGTGTTCTATTCAAAAAGCAATTTTTTGAAAGCAAATTTCTCGTTGTTAAATATCAAGTGATAAAGAAATACCAATATTATCACACCGAAATCTTGAGCATTTTACATTATTATTATTTTTATTATTACATATTGTAACTAATGATTAATCCATTTTTTTTATTAAGACTTCAAGATCATACAACAAAGAATCCTTATATAAGAGAAGTATGATTGTGTTAATAAAATTTAATTAACTTAATAGACTCAAACTAGATTTCTTACGTGGCATAAATAATATAGCTTACCACGTAATATTAAGTAAGTGAGTAAAGCAAGTAAAGAGAGTAAGTAAAACATTAAGTTTTTTCAAATTATTCCAGAAGCATAATTCTTATGATGTTAAATTCGCCATCTAAGTATCGATGTCGGTTGTATTAAATAATTTATATTTAAATTATAGCATTAAACACAGAATAATTAAACATAATAGATTTATTTAATACACACGTATTACAGTTTTCTGTTCAGATAAGATAAGAAGTCGAGAAGACGAGAACGGAATTTTTAAATTGCCAAATAATGGCTAAAGATTGTTGAAAAAAAATGTTACACATAATTATACAACAAGTGAGAAAAACACAAAGACGAAGGAAAGAACGGACAAAGGACGGAACAGGCATTCAACTCACTACAGCAACAATTGCTCATCGCATATGATTGTAAGTGCGAGTATAATGTAGTATGTATATATACAATGGATTGATGTATTGAACTTTCCGTATCGTATTGTAAGATTGGCAGACAATATTGTATAAGCAAACGCATGGCACCATCATACATATGAAACTACATTATTCTCGAGGCAAAATGCAGCTCGTGCCTCTTACTTATGCGATGAATGAAGTTACATAACGCGCGGTGCAGGATTGCAGCACGTGATTTTGTTCTCGCGTGTATGTAGCAGTTCGATTTCATTCGCCAAACGCATAAGCATAATTTCTTCTCAGGCAACATATTTTTCAAGCTTAAGAAAAAAATAACGTTAAAAAAAATTTTACGAGCATTAATGCTTTTTTAGTAGTTTTCTCTTGTGCATTTTTTAATAGTTCTTTGAAATTATTAGAAACATATATCGAAGAAAAATTTTTAAAAATGTCTAAAAATGTACCGAGTTAATTTGTTATTTATTTTAAATGCTGTAAAAATCATAATTTTTCAATATTCTCATTAAAATAATATTCGATCAACCAAATAAAAACTCATTGTCAGCAGAGAAATTTATACGAGCAGATTCAAAATGGGTACATTAAAAAAAGATCTTAATAACGCACATTCTTTAACATTCTTACAATTAGCAGTGATTCATAATGATTTATTGCACATTAGTATATGCAAGATGTTTTACATCAAATGGAAATCTACATCTGATGGAAACATGCCGAAAGATTGAGTACTCTACAAGTTTTTATGTGCATCATATTACTTTAATTTTTGTATACATATGATTTTGTTTATTTCGTTATTTTATGTTTTGCGTAAAAAATGCAATATGACACACATAAAAACTTGTAGAATACTAAATCCTTCGAGATGTTAAAATTCTCATCAGATGTGGAATTCCATTTGATATGAAACATCTCGCATACTAATGTACAATGAATCATTGTGAATCACTGCTAAAATTAGTACTTTGTTTGTAAACTTGTTTAGAAATATAAAGAAATACATTTTTTTATTTTATCGCTAAAACAATATTTCTCAAAAGTAAATATCGAAATATAGGAATAATTAGGGAAATTTGATTTACAGAACAAGAAATCGAGGATTCAACTTCGAGTATCTCATAAACATATTTAAAAGCAGATATAGACGCATACACACTTACTTTTTCGACATCGAACGGAGAAAGTTCGGTATCGAAAAATACCACAGAAGTGACTAACTGCAGCTCTGATCTCCGTCCACGTGCACACACGGGAAATTGTGCATACTTTATATTTACATGATGGTATACTTTAGGTAACGCAAAAAAAGTCTGCTAAAACTTTGCTACAAATGCGTATTAAAACTTAAAAAATTATTTTTTGTATAAATAAAAAAATATTTTTGTTTTAAAATATCATTTTTAGTTTAGTTTATTTCTACTTTTATTTTTTCAGAAATAATTTTAAAGATATTTAGAGCATTATTCCAAATTCTACAAAATTAAATATTCATTTACGAAAGTTCTCTGATTATCGAATGTACTTCTAGCCCCACAAATCAAAATATCATTGAAATAGAAAACGAGACGAATATAATATCAAATGTTCATCGCTTGTGGATTTTAATTTTCTCTTAAATAATGGAAGTTGTTTGCACACATGCATATGTTGCTATACATGCACCGCCAATTGCCTTTACTATATAAGAAATAAGCTAAAAATGAAGGGAAATGGTGACCCGGTGTCCAAGATTGCCACACTTATTACCGTCCTAGATGCAAGTTGCAATACACATAACTTGCATGAACTCACCAAGGAAGTGTGGACCTGCGTTTTGTTACGGATCGTGGCTTTTCGGGCGTCGCTAGTCCATTTTGTGACTTTCGCTAATTTTAATAGGCGCGGCGAAATTGCGCGAACCGGTGTCTGTACTAGTTTTTCACGTCTGTATATCAATCTGGCTATAGTATATCACAATATCATTGCATCAAATTATTAAATTAATAAATTAAAACACGAGAATGTATTTGTCATAGCAAAAGTTTTTTTATTCTTAATAAGCAATTATTTAAATATTATAGAATATATGCTTTTTTTATATTATAATGTAATATATTTTTATTATTATTGTTTTATTGTAGAATATAAATAATATAAATTAATTGTATGTAATTAAGATGAATAATAATCTTCGATACATACAATAACCAGTATTTTGAACGTGTATCTCCTACATCCAACATTGGACTGTATTTTCAATGCCAACATGCCACTTTTATCCAATTGCAAGTATTTTCCTTGACCTAGTTTTGCTTTTACTTTTTGGTGGTCATTCTTGGCTTTAAGCATCAAGCATGCAAGCAATTATAAAATTATGTTAAAAATATTAAGAAATATGTTATACATATAATTCATAAGCTAAATTAGCTTTATAAAATTTTATATACATAAAATTTATATATAATTTTATAATTTAATTATAATTTATATATAAATTTTATATACATAAAATTTATATATACATACATATAATTACACACACACACACACACACACACATATATATATATATATATATACCTATATATATGTACAATGCGAAACTTAAAACCGATCTGTCTATTGATCGATTGATCAATCAATGATGATGTATATAAGTTTATAGTCTATTGTTCGAAGCATAATAAAATTACAATTATTATTCCTTTTTTTACATTCTGTGACACTTCACTTATTAGTTACGTACCGCTAATAATGATGAAAAAATATGTTGCGCAATTAATTTCTCTAACTGCATACGTTACCTTTGGATCGTAACTGCAGCGAGAAATTACGAAACGTCAACGTCGCGCCGTCTCGGAACGCGCTTCGAAATAGCGGGCTTCGAATTGCGCTCGTCTCTCTCTTTCTCTCTTTCTCGTCGGTTCCCTTCGCTTTCCAGCCCGTCCCGTCCGCGAGATGAAAGGCCGAAATGAAAATAAGCGGTATTTGGCCATAAGCGCGTGGTATGGGTCCACGAATCTATTTGAGGCGAAAAACCAAGACGAATGGGGGAATAGGAGGGAGAGTTCGAGCAAAAACGACCTGGTGAAAAGGCCGATATCGGTGGTGCACGGTTTCCCGCAAAGCAAGAATCAACGAACGTGTCCAATCGTCACTACTGCTTATCCGAGGCTGGACCAATGATCGGCAAGTAGCACGAGGCTATCAACCGGCCGAATGTAACAGCACCAACCAAGTTACTTGGTAAAGCCGCGGCTATCACATCCTTGAGTATTGTCAACCGACACCTCCTACAGTCGTCAATAAACTTCGGTACGTCCTCGACTGGGCTGGCCATCATGTGTGCTTTCATCGTTCGCATCTGGTAAATTTAATTCTGATCTATTGTACATTAATTCTAAGGGGGTTTCTTATGTTCATTAGATTAAAAGAACAAATCTTGTAACTTTTCGCTTTTTCTTTTAAGGTCTTTACAGTTAACAATTTTGTTGTGATAAATGCATTTCGTGCGGTCATATATAATAGCAAAACAATTAAACGTTTAAAAAAATTGTATTTTTTCATATCTTTAAGGCACAGATAAAAACTATCTTTATATAGGGTTGGGTAGAGCCTAGTTAAAAAAATAAAAGTTAAATTAAAAAACTAAATAATTTTAACTTAACTTAGTTACATTTTAGACTCAACTTAATTTAGTTACATTTTATTGGTAACTATTAACTTTTGTGATCTAACTTTCTTGAAGTTAAATTTTTAATGCCTCTTGTAAATCCAAAATAAAATACATATCTACGTTGGTGTCTTCAAATTCAAATTTGAGAACGTATATTAAAATAATTGTTATAATATAATACAATGTACTCTAGCCGCAGGAAGAAATCACTATTCGCGGATCTTCTATGAATTAAATCATTGTTGGAAGAAGTCCTTTGAAATCGGTCCTCATTTCGCGGCTCAACAGAAATAAATATAACAAATATACACTTTATTTAGAAACTTTATTTAGAAACTCTAAAATTATAAACTAAAAAAAATTTAACTTTTAACTTTTCAATTACTTTTTTTTATTAAATTAACTTTTAATTCAATTAATTT